AATGTAGAATTGAATATTTTGATAATATTCTGTATGTCTTAAACATTTGAAATCATTCTTCTAGTAATTGCCAGTAGAATACCGTTTGCTTTATTCCTGTACCGGATGTAATAATCTTCTCTGCCAAAAACTTCTCATGTTCTTTGAACTCTTTTGTTTTGGTGGTGACGTCATCATATTGGATGGCGGCTTCCGATATAAACTTCCTGATTTGATCCTTATTGTCAAGACTAATAGACCTATACACAAAAATCTTACAGTGAATTATAAAAAAACATATTTTTTAAAATACAGTGTCTGATTCGTGATCTGTATGTCGTCAGAACATTCTACATAAGGCTACAATACAGTTATTAAAACCGTCATGAAAAATCAATGATATCTTATAGGACTATTTTTTAGGCCTAATGAAATATTTCTGCAATATGGAATTACTTTGTAGTTTTGTCCATAACTTTTGGGAACACACTGGAGTCTATCCGGGTCTGTAGGGGCTTGGGCCAGCATTCCTTGGCCACCTTTCCCACTGTTTTACTGTCCATCTTGGCTGAGGTCTTTATCTGAGCCATGGCAAAAGCCTTCAGTTTCTCAGTCAAAGCATCAATATCGTAGTCATCTCCTCCTGACGCCATCTTGTTGGTACAATCTACTATTGTGGGCTAGACTTTTAGTAGGCCTATAATTTGGCTAAGTTATGCATGTAAATTCACAAATTCTTTGTGCGAAATACATTTTGACGTCATATCTACGTCATAGTCCTAGTAAATTATTTTCTCAAGAAATAGAAGACCATATTTTCATGAACTTATTGCATATATCCAATACATTCATCATGAAATCATTATACACGTACACTAACAACCAGAATATTTAACACTGAATGAAAAATTTAGGCATTAATTGAAAAATTTAGGCATTAAAAAAAAAAATCTTACGTTGAATTTCACAACTTATAGGCCTATGTTCTAAATGATCACTAACGTTAGGCTATCTATAGGTCTACAAAAATTGCTACTTGAATTTTATTTACCGTTTTTCGAATTTTTTGCTGACACAAGTTATTTAAAGTTTGATCTTTTTGAACTCAAACAATTTCTGTATTGAATTTCATAGACACTATTCTTAGACACCCCCCCCCCAATAAAAAAAACCCAAAGATTGATATCTAGGAAAGGTACATGGGTCAAACTCATTCTTTGGAGTGTTGCTTTATTGAGAATAGGAATTTGTACACTGATATATTCATGTTATATTTTAAAGTATGCACTGGAAATGATGATATTTATCTATAGGCCTATCTCCTCAAAAACGTCTATATCAATTTGACACTCATTTAAAGAGTTACAAGCTGATAGACATTACTTAACACTTTTTTTTTCTTTCGAATATTTGCCTACCTTGGGATCATGCTAGCCAAGGGTCTTTGATCCACTACACTCCGAGCTAGCAAAGATAGTATTTTAAGGACTTTTTACATTAGATGATTTATCAAATGTTTCCAAGAAATAGAAATTTTATACTTTACGAAGAAAAATGTCAATTGGGAGTATAAGTTTAGTTCATGTTGGATTGCAACAACTAATGAAATATATGAAGATGAAAAACGGTATTCATGCCCAAAAGTCCATTTTAAAACAATACACAATTGGAGCAGAACAAACACGGACCTCCAAAACATCAGAGGTCGGATCAGGTGCCATGGAGGAGTGAGCATCCCCCATCGACAGCTCACAATCGCCGTGTGATCCTGGTCTTAATCGGGAAATAATGGGGAAATCCGTCGACAATTCAGTGTGTATATAATAGCCTAACAATTAATATGAAAAACGTCAGTCATGAAGCATTAGACTTACTGATAAATTGTATTTATTGACAAGGTAATTGTATCGACCGTATCTCTTACGGAAGGATGACTACTGATGCTCTTGTTTCATCAACTTGTTTGTTAATAATCTAGCTCGCTATAGAAATTGCTCATACGTAGAGCATGCTATCGCGTATCGAATCAATTGAAATATATAAATCCCTTTTATATGGAGGTTATGAAGGTATATTGCTGCTTAGATAAGGGAAATTGACAATAGAAAAGTTAAAGTCATCACGTTTATCATAAAGCCAGGTTGTTAAATTACCATTAATGTCTTTTTCAAATAAAATATCGAGATATGAAACAGATGTGTCTTACTCTGTGGTATATTTTTTTTCAAGCTGTTGATATATTGTATCAACAAATAAAGAATGGAAATGAACATACGTCGTCGATATATCTAAGATAAAGGGCACAGCAAATCTTTTTTTCTTTTCACGCCTAAGATTTTGGATAAATTCTTCGTATGAATACAAAATTAAGTCTGCTAATAATAGGGCGCATTTTGTACCCATGGGAATTCCAATAGATTGTTGGAAGACCTGCATGGTCTTCAAAACCACATAGATATTGTCAATCAGAAACTCAAGTATCTTTTAAATATCAACTTCAGAGTACAAGTGTGTACAATTAGAATAATTTTTTAACAAAATAATTTTGCAAATGACCAATGACAAGGTAAGTAAATTTACGAATTCCATTTTTATTGAAAAAGCAGCTGCTGATATCAAAAAACCTGGACTTTAATCTATCTTGGGGAATGGTTGTATATAAAGTTGAAAAAGTCGTAAGTTTTTATCTGTTGATTCTGATAAAATTTTGTGATTTCAAATTTTCCAAAAGTTTATTGGAATTTTAAGTATCCACATCTGATTTACACCACTTCTCGAATATATTTTTTAACAGTACTCCTGAAGTTTCTCCTTTACTACTGTTAATATTTCAGTGAGGACTAAAGAAAGAAGCTTGATAGAACATTTACTGGAACCCGCTTTGCATCTTTAATGTAAGGGTTTTGGGAATCCAAAATAGATATGGTAATGCAATTTCATTCAGTTTTTTTTATATTAAAAATATTCAAAACTGACATAGGATTTGAAAATCATAAATAATCATCAATAAATTTTAATAAAGTCTCTTCTAAGAAATAAATCTACAAGAGAATGATTCAAGCAAAGAGACTACTGACCGTTTAAGGACCTTACAGACAGGATATGTAAAAACTCTGAATCCAAACAGAGATCAGATTAGTCTCTCAGTGAGGGTCCAAGAAAATTCCCCAAACACTCGCCAATCCACAGCTGATGCCATAGACAATATTTTTTTAGTTTGAAATTGGCTGTCGTTTGAGGGGGATGCATTCATCATGGTGTTTCATGCTTACTGTGTTGTGTTTCTGCTTGTAACATCCCTATCCCTTGTCTTAACTTTCAAAATATTAAAACCCGGTAAGTTTTCATTAATATTTTGGTCTAGCCAAAAGAAAATCATTTTCATCTGTCCACAAGGTAAGTAAGAATACGTTTAGAAATAAATTTCATTCGACTTGAGTCGCTAAATTTAGGTACGCAGTCCAAAGGGAGAATTCATTGTCATAGCAAAATATCATAATTTTAAAAAAAAATATTTTTTAAGAGGAGATTGTGACAACTAAGATAGCCTCTTAAAAATTATAGAAGAAAAAGAAAACTTTAAAAAAATATTTTCTTTCTAGGTTATAATGTCAAACACAACGTTTATCAGTACCATGACGTCAGTATTGACGGGTCAACAGATGACATCATCACAAGAGATAGAACCGGAAGTGAGCACGTTGATATGGAGTGGGACATAATACAGCGGGACAAGGACCAACTGGTGCGTTGTAAAATTTTTGTTATTAGTTATTTCAAACATAAATATAAAACAAAAGGTGCTCAATTCATAACCAGAAATTGATAAAACACTCGCTCTTTACCGTCGTCAGCCATTTTTGGTTAGTCGAGTGTAAAGTATGGCAGTGTTTGATGGGTTTTGACGTACTATAATCAATTCCTTTATTATTTGTAGATTAATGTAGATAATGATAAAAATGACGTCATAACCGAAGAAATAAATGACCGAAAAGATGACAGAATTCAGGCAGCAGAGGAATCACCGTCCATTTCCGCCCTGAATCTCCAAGTAATGGCGATTGTTGACGCTCAGTTGTTCCGGAAGTTCCTCGAGAGAAACCACCGAGACGTACGTCAGACCCACAATGCCATCATCACGTACTTCAGCTCAGTGTTCGCTATGGTAATTATTTTTTTGCTAATCTACTCAAGTCAGAAAATAATAACTACATGTATATAAATGTGCCATTTTTAATATTTCCATGTTTTATTTTTTTCAAACGAGTCTTACGACCTGCTCTAGCACGTTTTGATTTTGATTATTGCCATTCGATTTCTTCAGCTCAAGAGAATCTTATTGCACAAAAACAATTTATACTATAAATTCATTCACTTAATTGTACTCCTATTACCTTTAACTAATATAGATTGTATAGATATCAAAAAAATTCAAAATCTAAAGTTAGTACAACATTGCTTAACATCTACATGATAAGAAAAATCTACATACAGTGTATGAAAAATTATAAGAAATATACATCAAACATTAGATATAAAAGAGAGAAAATAAGACACGCAGGGCGACACCCGAGATCAGTGTGTTTTGTCGTAAGTGCCTTGGTCTTTGTAATTGCCCACATATCCCGAGTCGTCCACCTTATCTACACGGCCGTCTTTGCCCTTGCCCTTTCCTGATTCGTCAAACCTTTCCTTGTGGGACCCAGTGTATTTGGAGGTATCCGTCATACGGTCAACTCCCCCGGTCTTAGAAATTTCCTAAATTAACAAAGCAGTGATTATAATAACATTTTCAAACACTCGTACATTAAAAATTCAGAGCAGGAAAATTATTAAGCAGATAATACTGACTATATTTCAGGTTTTTGCATGTCTTTGATATTTTGAAATTAATTTGCTTATAAATGCCAGTTGTGAATACCGTTTGCTTTATTCCTGTACCAGAACCTATTATCTTCTCTGCCAGAAACTTCTCATGTTTCTTGAATTCTTTGGTTTTCTTGGTGACGTCATCGTACTGAATGGCGGCTTCCGATATAAACTTCCTGATTTGATCCTTATTGTCAAGACTTATGGACCTACAGACAAAGATAAAATACGTGAAATAAAGTTCAAACTACGTCATAATTCCAAAAAATAAAGAGACCATACTTCGTCGTGGGTTTGTATTTTTTGGTTACAGTAACAATTATAATGTCGAGTATCTGTGTACACATGCAATATATATTTAAAAAAAAATTTGCATCAGTTTGAATACAATGATATTATCATTTGATATAATTAAGTGACTATCAACTAGATCATATTTCTATGAATTATTTATGGTACTGACTTTCACCTCTTACCAATCATATTTGTACACATATTTAACTTACTTTGTAGTTTTGTCCATAACTTTGGGGAACACACTGGAGTCTATCCGGGTCTGTAGGGGCTTGGGCCAGCATTCCTTGGCCACCTTTCCCACTGTTTTACTGTCCATCTTGGCTGAGGTCTTTATCTGAGCCATGGCAAAAGCCTTCAGTTTCTCAGTCAAAGCATCAATATCGTAGTCCTCTTCCCCGGATGCCATTTTGTCTTTTGGGCAGGATAACTTATACTAAACCTTCAATACTGTGGAATACGAAATGATTTAAAGTGCACTCGATCAGTAGTTGAAATTTCAAGCATGCACAATTAGTTTTCTTATACGCTAGATTTTAATTCTATTCAAAAACTAATTCAAATCTTACACGAGTTTAGTGTTGGCGTTAATTAAACGTACCTTTAAAAGCGCAATCTAAAAACAGACACAAGACAATTAGACTAAAACTGCAGGTAGTTCACTGCATGGAGTGGTCGCCAATGTAAACAAGTGATCCAGAACCGAGCTATTGATCCATCACATTGTCCGGTGGAGAGTGGACCTGAGCCTAAATTAAATGCAATCCCCGAGAGTCAATCTCAGATATGGAATTCATATATCAAAAGTAAACAAAAGAATCACTTAAAATCCAAAAATATGGAGGAGAAAAAAGGGTTGTAGATAATAAAACACAGGGCGTGAAGGCAGTAATGGAGATTTAGCGGAAGCTGCACACTCAGCTAATAATAGCTCCACAGCGAGGGGGAAGTCAATGAGGAGTTTTTGTCGATGCTGAGTAATACTGAGTACTAAGTACATCTGGGAGAGAGAGAGAGGGTTCATATGAATATTAATATCGATGAATGAAGCAATATGAAACGCTCACTAAATGCCGTGAGTAAGGTCAGGGTCTCAGGAGGGTCGGCTGTGGCAGTTGGCACTGTTAGAGGGTAAATAAATAATAAGCGTTCACTGTACGACATTATTTGTGTACGAGGGTTGTCCCGTAAAATCGTGGACAAGTTGTCTGGTGTAAAATATAAACAACGCTGCGTTCTGAAATTTTCACTATTATTTAGTACATATTTTAGTAAAATACACAGCAGATTTCAAATAAATATATGCATAAAAAACAAATTATTTGATTTTATGTCATGTATTGTATCACCTTACGGCGCATGGATTATAACGTCAAAGTGTCTAAACAGCGTCACGTTTTATCTTTGCTGAAAATGAAGTTGGATAAGTCCGACTTAAATTTAGGAATTTCATTGATACACATTCTTTAATTAGTCTCCATAAACACCCGAAGAACCAATTGGCACACTCATGCGATCTTCTGAAGATTTATCAGTAAGTTACGGACAATATTCTCACCATCATTCAACTAATAGAAAATCTCATATCGGCGGTCTACTATGACAGCGTCTTTTGCTATTACATTAGGAGTTTGTCCGTATGTTTTCGTACTCCCCAGGGACTCGATCAAAAAAGGATTCGCTAAGAAAACTCTTATTTCATTTGTATACTTAAGATCTGGTGATATTTTTATTATCTTTTTTCTTCTATGGTCATTTCAAGTCTCTAAAGGTGTCATTACAACATCAAATTAAAACGGAACTGCTCTCCGGTGCGCCGTAACGTCATAAAACGTCGCCATTTTTCGTGTGTTGTGTTTACCACTTTCCCATTTCGAATGCTCGAGAAACTGCCAAAAATTAACCAAATGCCTTAAATTTTTTACAAAGACTACAAAATTTAGTGTTGTATTGAATTAGGATAATTTTAATTCAAATCTTATGTATTTAAAACTTTTATTTTGAATTCAAACTTGTGTATTCATTAATAAAACCTTGGTTTTTTGTCCGTGCGCCGTAGGACAATACCCCGTGCACAATCAAGCATAATAAAATCGTTATTTTTGCTTATATTTTATCATAAAAATTATCATGCACTTAAATATGATAAATAAACATTTACTGAAATTTTCAGCTTAGTGCACCTATTATTTTTCGAGAAAAACGCTTTGTCCACGATTTTATGGGACAACCCTCGTATAAGTGATTGCTATTTCTTCCCGGCATTAATAAATGGAGAGTTGTTACAAAACAGTAAAGAAATTGTCTTGTTTTAATTAAGCTTTTTAAATATGATGTACATGCACTGCTGTTGTTTTTGGCTATTAACACTAGTATACTGGAACTAAACTAGACATCTTTGGCTACTCTTTATCTTCACATAAAGGTATTACATGTATTAGTCTCATGGCCCTTGTGGCCGTGGGATGGAGTACGTGTAATGGAATGGCGTGGGTAGATAAAGTGATAAATGAAATAGTATGCTTGAGAAATTCTAGTTTCCATTAGATTTTTGAAAAGCCATCCCATTTCAGTGAAGTACAGGATTTAAGTGTTCGCCAGCATTGGAAGTTTTATACCCATATCGGCAATTTTTTTACTTTCCTTTTGATAAATCAAGCATCCTCATGCTCCCTCCAAACTATGCTTTCCAACCCTGAAGATATTTCCTACGAGCCTAAGATGAAATAACGAACAGTAATCAAGCCCCAAAGTCCCCTTTATATTCGGAGCAGAGCAAACGCAGAACTCGTAAAACAGAAGACGTTGGATCATGTACCATTGGGTAGTAACCATCCCCTGTTGCATATATATGCATAACATTATTCAAAATGATCAATTCTGACATTTAAAGGTGAACGAAAGATTCCAAACCATGAGGAAGTTTGGGCTAGACATCAAAATTAAGTTGGCAGCCATCGTCATTGAAGAGGTAAGAACTGCGAATTACTGATATTAATTTTAAAAACAGTCATGCTGAATAAAATAAATGAATTAATAATTGAAGATAATATCTACACAAATGACTGTTTCATCGAAACATACTGTATAATTCCTCTTTTGAATATTTTTGACAGCGAGATCAAGATGTCCCTTGGTTGAGAGGACACGTCCGACGTCCCTCTTACACCAGGGAGGCCATGATAGATGTGGAATCAGTGTTGCGTGACTTAACAAAATGGCTGCAGAATAGCAGCTTACCAAACTACGATCACGCAGTGGCTTTTACTGGGTGGGTATAAATGTTAGAATGTTCATGCAGATATACAAAATCAAAAAATGGGAAAATGCAATTTTATAAGCATTTAGTCTAGTGTAGCTTAATATGTGATTTCTTATACTGTAATTTGTTCCAGACACTGTATATCAAATTGTTGCTCGAAAAAAATTCGCTTTTTACTTTTATTGCAAGACTTTATTAATTAAATGAATAACCTAAAGAGATTTCAATTTCAATCTTTATTTATGTTTAAACTAAAGTAATTAAACAATAAATCTAAGAGTTCTCCTTCCTTGCCGAGGAGCGGATATCCCCCCCCCCACTTTTTTCCCAACCTTACTTATACTATAGGAAATGTGAATTGAAAGCCTGGTTGCCCCCCCCCTACTTTTAGTGATGTACCGAAAATGTAGTATTTGGTACTGAATTGGTACTGAAAGTAGTTGACACTGAGAAAAAGTTTACCCCCCCCCCCCCCCCCCCCCCCCCACACACACACACCCACGAAATAGGATTTCGACTTTGGGCAACATTTTCCTTTTTCTTTTTTTTTTTGCTTGTCAACTTTTTCAGGTAAGTAAAAAAAAAATTTCTCTGGCTGCCCCCCCCCACCCCCCCCCCTCACTTTCAAAAACGATGCTACGCGCCTGTAAAAAGTACAAAATATACACAGACAAGTTGCCTGTGTCGATATCCCCCCCCCTCTTTTTGGAGTTCTAAAATTACATGTATAGGGTAGATTTGAAGTATCATTTGTATTTGTAGAATCCTTGTACTCATAGCATTTCTTGAGGCATTCAGATTTATAGATCTTTAATTGTCAACATAGATGGGTCATGTATGTAGCCAACTTGAACCCAACAATAAGATATTAACAGATATTTTAACTTGTGACCAAGAATTGTTTAAATCTCTTAGTAAATGTATCAAGCATTAATGCATTTTCTTTTATGATATTTACAGTAAGTGTCACAGATTGGTTGTAAAATCTGACGTATCTTGGCGTCTTTCGATGGGCTCAATGGCACGGCAAGATTCTCCCTTGATTTGCTTCGACTTGTAGTTGCCTGGATTAAATCGTCCATTCCCATTCTCGAGCGAAAACATGCAGATCTCCATGTACTCCATCTTTTTCTTCTGACTCTCTCATTGGTACTGTTGACTTTAAGTTTAAACAAGCGGGATTCCCTAACTTCACAGTTATCGGTTTTGTTATTTAGTATTACTTTAAGAATTAAATGTTGCTCACTTGCAATTTGCAATTTAATTTCTTTCGCATGAAATCTGCCCTCCTGACTTAGTGAACAGGGTTCTCTTTCTAACTTTACGGATTTAGTGTCTTCATACTTGCCAAGTTTTTGTAATCTTTGTTCAATCATCACGTGATTCTGATACAGCTTTACACAAAATTCCTGTCCTGTGGCACAGCTCTCTTTTACTTCCTCGAATACATCAATGGCACGCAGACGATTCATTGCCAGTCACTCGGAACTTTTTACCGTTCCCTGTAGATAATATCTGAGAAAAAAATATTAAAAACTACAACCTTTTGAACTAGTCCAAGTTTAGCATTACATATACATTAGTACTTGCAAATGCTTGTGTAACAAACCTTCATCCCTCCGTGAAAGTTACATTAATGTTACAACTGAATCCGTTTATCTTCTTTAAATAATAATTCTTATTGCCTCTTTCATTGTCAGTTTTGAGGAGTGCTTAGAAATAATTGTGTAATTAAAGTAAATAATTGGGTGTCAGTGTCACAAACATTAACTCGGAGCGAGATCCGAGTACTAGTATTTCTCAATGGCTGCATTGCAGTTCTAACATTTTGGAAAATGGACGGCCGTTTATTATTTTCCGAAATTTTCAATAAAATTGGGACAAATCAACGTGTTTTATAGGGTACATCACTAGCTATTATGTGAAAGAAATATGTTTAAACCTAAATCAAGCAAATTCTGCGACTCTGAATTATGTGGGGTACCGTACAGTTTTCCAGACAATATGTCTGTTCCTCTCTTTGTAATTTGTATACCACCCTGTTATGAGTGAATATTAATCATGAATATTACACATAAACCACATATTTCAGATATGCTCTGGTAAAAAACTCAAAGAAAATTGACGGTAGGTACAATAAATATCAACGATAATTCTACTTCTTTCACAATTAATTTAATTTTGATGATAATCCTCTATCTTTAAACATAAATCATTTCAAATTGATATCCACTGTTGTCAATAGAATTATTTTGAATTATTTTGTTTACTTCTTTATTTATTTACTGTACGTCTTCTTTTCCGAGGTTTGGCGTACATGAATAAGATATGTGACAGACAGGGGCACTCTTCATCCATTGTGGGAGAAAATGGAGACTTCATGAGTGTGGGGGTGGTGGCTCATGAAATAGCACACAGGTGAAAAAATGTACAGGTAGAGGTAGCACACAGGTAGAAACAAATCAACAGGTATAGGTAGCACACAGGTATAACAAATCTACAAGTAGAAGTAGCACATAGAAACTAATCCACAGGTATAGGTAGCACACGGGTAGAAAAAAATCTACAGGTCAAGGTAGCACACAGGTATAACAAATCTACAGGTATAGGTAGCACACAGGTAAAACAAATCTACAGGTATAGGTATAGGTAGCACACAGGTATAACAAATCTACAGGTAGAGGTAGCACACAGGTATAACAAATCTACAGGTATAGGTAGAACACAGGTATAACAAATCTACAGGTTTAGGTAGCACACAGGTGGAAACAAATCCACAGGTATAGGTAGAACACAGGTAAAATCATTGTACAGTACAGGAATCCACAAGTAGGAGCTAGCAAACATGTAAAGAAAAAGTAATACCTTCGTACGTTACATGTCTAAATAAATCAGGCCCGTAGCCAGGCGGACGCACAAACGTCCACAGATCCCTTCTCATTTTGAATGTTTTTACGCACTTTCTACAAACTGAACAGACGTCGAATATGGCTGCGTAACAAACGTTAAAAGTGTAAGAAAGATGCGGGTTGGGGGCTTTAAGCCCCTCCCCCCCCTCCCCGCCAACTCGGGCGTCCACATGAAAAGTACCCTGGCTACGCCCCTTTTGTGAAGATCGAAGTGATCAATTTGAAAAAGACTAAAGATGACCGGTCACACCCGCCGTGAGCCCTATGTATTGATCAAGCAGACGGAAACATCCTATAGTAAACTTCAGTATAAAACAAAAGCCTGATGGTTATATTTGCAAGGTCATTATGACGACAAAAGAATTTACGAATCCTGACTTTAAATGAGATTGTTAAAATCCCTGTGACGTCAACTTATCTGTCAGTGGCTTGAAATTATATTGATTTTTCTCCTTAAAATATAGTTGAGAGGTATAGAAACGTCATAAATATAGAGATGCTCGGAGTAGGACAAGCAGCAGAAGCATGCACCTGTGGTAAAAAAAAATATAATGCGGTTTACTTTAAATAAATGTTGAAATTTTTCCCGCATATTAAAATCCCATGTCTTTGCTCTCGGAATATTTATATACATTTGTATGTTATACAAGCTAAGATGTGGTTTAATTTGTAGTCTCGGTGCTGTTCATGATGATCAAAGTAGCAATAGCGGGAATTGCTCTGCAGAAGATAACTACATAATGGCGCCTCAACATCAAATGAACCCAGAGAAAGTTCAAAATCTTTTCCATTTCTCGCACTGTTCAAGTAATAAGATTCTTCAAATTATCAGGCAAGTTGTCGTGTATCGCTCAAGCTCTGGTATTGTACAATTCACTGGTATTTGTCCTTTGATAATGCAGTGCAAATGAAGATTCTATAAAATATAATTTCTGAAGTAATTCAAACGGAATTTCTAAAAAAATATTTGCTTCTTCTACTCATTATGTAAATAGATAAGGGGTAACCATCTAATGAAATGTTTTATCCAGGTCAAATCAGCCTCAGTGTCTGTATGATGATAATCCTGAACTCCCGTATCCCTATGACCTTGACAAACGACCTCCAGGTCAGACATTCAGTCGTGAGAGGCAGTGTAAACTGGTGTTCGGTGAGAATTCTACACTTTGCTTTGTAAGTACACAAGCAGCCCTTCTCACTCATGGCTCTGAGATGTTAAATTAACGTCATTTCTGTGTCAATGACCACACTGATACGTAAAGCTGACCAGAGCAACCGGGAATGGTCGACCATGGTTATAGCTACAAATACCATTTAACTTTTTTAATAAGTGAAATTCAAAGGCAAATTTTACTAAATTTTAAATTCACTTTAACGATTCTTTTATAAGTACATTACCCCGTCTCCTCGGTCTACTGACGACCGATTCTGTGGAAACGTTTGGTGTCAGAATCCAGACAACCCTAAAATGTGTCAAACTAAAGCGAGGCTCGTGACCTTACCGGGAACCGTATGTGGGGAAAATAAGGTGAGAACATGCTCTTCACTTGTGAACTGTTCAATTGTAAATTCTTAAACAGTTTTTATTCAAATATATTAGTACTAGTATTTTTGTAATAATTTTAACAACTCGATCTTTCATCGAAATTATCGTATATGTTGTACAGATTTGCAGAATGGGAAAGTGCGTTCAAAAGAAGGTCAACAGAGAATCTGGTAAATGAGTCCAGTTAAGATAAATACACATATGTTAATCTGAATTGAATAAGCAAGAAAAGATAAATAAATATATATACATGTACTTAATTTACTCAAATTAGCTGAAGAACATTGATATTATGAGTGATATTATTAGTTCCTGTTACTGTAGATCTTGAATAGTTCTCTCCTTTGAAGTATCAGATCACTAGCTAGCTATATTGATTAACCTATCCATACTATTTTTTTTATGTTATAATATTCTTGTAACCTTTGTTTAAGAGTTGTGTGGACC